CTGGGTTTAACCATGTTTTGCTATCAATCCACTAACCCTCATGCTTTGCTATCAATTCACTAACTCTCCTTATCATCAATTGTCCTGTGTCCTATGTGAATATAGAGGAAATTGGCCTTCACAGAGGCCTCAGAGGCACGAGGTTAAACTCTTCCTCCCCTCTCCTCTCTCCTCCTCCCCCCTTTATGATCAACATCATCACTGTTATTATTTATTAAGTACTTACTGTGTATTCAGCATTCTCTTAAGGTTTTATGTAAACGTAAGCCTCACAACAATCTTATGAGGTAGTTATCATTAACTCATTTTGCCGATGATAAAGGAAGCTAAGTGAGATTGTTTAACTGCACAAGGTCACACAATGAGGGGCAAACTTTAGATTAAAGCGCAGATCTAACTGCAGATGATGTGTTCTTAACTGCAAAGTTACAGGCTTGCCTTAAGGGATTTACAACGTGGCATAGGATCAAGGAACAATGGACCAGATGTGTGGATCAAAGATAAGACCATATTTACATAAAGTGATAGGTTTAAGATTTAGAGGTTCTCCTTGGACCCCTGAGTGTCTACAGACAGATGTGTGGGGGGAGGGGTTGAACCTAAAACAGGGGTCAGTAAACATTTTCTTAAAGGACCACATAGTAACTATTTTAGATTTTGCAGGCCATATGGTCTCTGTCAAAAACACTTATCTCTACTGTTGTAGTGCAAAACAGTCACAGGTAATACACAAATGAATGGGTGAGGCTGTGTTCCAATAAAACTTTATTTACAAAAACAAGCAGCTGGTGAGCAGGCATTAAATGGCATACAAATTCTATGTGCTCATATGCATAGTTGTCTTTGTTGTTATTATTAGGAGAACCATAGCTTTCTATAGTTTCTTAAACAGGTTCAACAACCAAGATGGTTAAGAACTGGTCTAAATGGTTTCCAAACCTCTCTAAGCTTAGATATTCCACAGGGTTCCATAATTCATCTAGCCTTTTACAACCCGTTAGAGATTCTTTCTCCTTAGCAGGCTCTTTTGTGGGATTCTGCTGTGAACTGTTGAGTGGACAACAATTACTGTCTATTGAGAAGGAAACATGAATCATATTACCATTCAACCTTCCTTGGTTTACCTGGTCAGATGATACTGGCTAAAACACAAATACATTCCAGACTGAAATACAGCAGTTTGGTCCTGCATCAGATCGTCTGATGTTTGCTGAGGCTTTTTTCTCCTGCCAGAGACCTCTTTCTCTGTTCTGCTGAGCTTTCTGCACAGTAAGAACTTACTTGTGCTGACCACACTAATATGCAGTTTGGATTCTGAAGTCAGCCAGGTCGACCCAGGTATGGTGTGGAGGGGAGGGATATTGCTGGATGTATTTGACTGAGGCTTCTCTGTATTTGTTCAGGGATCTTTTCTCCCCAAAGGAAACATTTCTCTTAGGATTCCCTGGCTTCACGAATTAGAGCATTTTATTCACTGCCTGTGACCTTGTCAACATGTGTCAACAGGTACCTCTACTCTGCCTCCCACTGCAGGGGTCTTGTCTTCTCCCAAGTAGAATCTCTGGGTGGGGATTGCTGATTATATTCCATTGTGCCCACTAGAGAACCAGGCTTTGCACACATGTGACAAGAAGAGTAAAGAATTGGTGTAAAGAAACTATACAAGTCATGTTTTAGTTTATTAGCACTGAGATCCCTGAAAGCTATGGCCAGTTTTAAATTCTTGCATCATTTTCGAAAATCAACATAAGGGTTGTCCAATCAACTTGAATAACAAACAGGATCATCCCTCTGGGATGGCTTCCAGCTTTAAATTTTAAGAACAGCCACAACAAAACCCTGATATATTAAAACGTGGAAGTACAAATACTATGAATGATAAGGTGATTGCATTCATATTCCAGGTTTTTCTGAGAGTGTAGGCATAGGAGAAGTGGCAGGAAAAAGAAATAGAAGGGGAGGAAGAAATGGCAGAAACTGGAAGAAAAGAAGAGAGCAAAACAAGGGGAACAAAGAAACAAAGAGGAATCAGATGGAAAGTGAGTCTGTACTGTAACCAGCTACTGCTGGGTTGAAATTCAGTGTCATTAGCATGCAGCTATTTCTCACAGCAAGTACCCCCCAAAGAAGGAAATAAACCAGCAAATGAAAGTAACAGGAGTATAAATCACTTAGCCAGTACTTATGGAGACTTTATCCCATATTAGACTCCTGTATATATCACATCAGGATTAGTGTTAACTCTCTGAAATGAAACATCAATAAGAAGACCACATGGTGCGGACTGTACCCCCAACTAATATTTCAGTTCAGTTTTAATTATCATGTTCATCTGGCAGCAGCATGGTGCCTGTAAATAGAAACGGGTCATGAGGGGCTTAGACTCTTGTCCTGGAATATCATTACATGACCTTGGTTGGCCAAGTTCTGTGCCTTGGTTTCCTCATTTGTAAAATGTAAATAAGAATTCTCTACTCTGCTTATTTCACAGAGGTGTTAGAAGGATGAAAAGTGAAAATACACACACACACACACACACACACACACACACACAGAGGCATGCTTGGATGAGTATAAAATGCCAGAAAAATGTAAAATTGACCCTGTTCTCTTCAGTTAACAAGGTAGTGGGGAGGCGGGGGGTGGGGACCATGGCATTTTGCACAGAAGGCTTGGTGACTCAATGAAGTGTCTTCCTCCCCCCACCCTCCCCCAGTAATATCTGGTCTGGGATTATTGCTGCTTTCTCAATGTTTTTAGACATACTTTTCTCCTTCAGAAATGCCAAAGGTGAAAAATACTATTTCACTGCTATAATTTGTCACCCTTGCTGCCTGAGCAAGACGTGCATAGACAGTTTAGTAATTAAGCTTTTCAACACTGCATCATAAAGTTTTATTCTGGCAAAGGCTATATTTATCAGCTAACAAGTATTAAATCACCCCACTGCTCATGCCGTTTCTCACTTGAATACGCTCCTTTCAAAACAGAACAGCTTTCCTTGGCTGGCTTGATTAATAAAAGTTCTTGTTTGGAAATACTGTGATGACGTGTGGCCCCATGGGGCTAGCATACATACACCTTGGCCAGTGTTCTACCTGGTGCTGACTCCGATCTCTCAGGGGAGTTTGATACCGTAGCCCTGTGTCTCTCAGAGCATCCTGGCCAGCTGAATTTTATGGCTCTCTGGGATGGCTTCCAGGAGGAGATATTTCTACCATTTCATTTCTAATGGGGAAGAAGTGAAAGAAAATCTAAATGTAAAATAAGTTTTCAAAATAATTAAAATAGCAAAGAAACAATGATCTACATATTAAGTAGGGTTTTTCCTCATATTGCTATAGTCTTATAAAAACAGATGAAGAATTAGAAAGAATAGATATTAAAAGTCATTAGTAATGGCTTAGAGGAGTACCCTCTCCAAGCAACCCATCCCAGCTTTACAAATCCTTTCCCCCCCTCCTTTGGAGGACATAAATTCATAAAATAAATATAGCATTGTTTTTAAAGGCTCAGGGTGCTTTCAGTCAATGGCTCTAGAATTATATTTGTTAAAAACAAAATAGTTAATTTGAATGAACTTTCTACCGTATTTTAAGGGTAAATATGGTAGAATATGGAAAAAGGAAATGTGGTACATACATACCATGGAATATTATGCATCCATAAAAAAGAATGAGATCATGTCCTTGGCAGGAACATGGATGGAGCTGGAGGCCATTATCTTTAGGAAACTAATGCAGGAACATAAAACCAAATACCACATGTTCTCACTTACAAGAGGGAGCTAAATGATAAGAACATATGGACACACAGAGGGGACAACAGAAAGTGGGGCCTACCTGAGAGTAGAGGGTGGGAGGGAGGAGAGGATCAGGAAAAATAACCAATGGGTATTAGGCCTAACTCCTGGGTGACAAAATAATCTGTACAACAAATCCCTGTGACACAAGTTTACCTCTATAACAAACCTATATATGTATCCCTACATTTAAAATTTTGAAAATATAAATAAAGACAAATGTTAGTCAAATATGGGCCAAAATAACAAAAAGTCACTCTTTTTCATCATTTCATAGAGACTACAAATTTCCTTCTTCCTCTCCCTGCTTTCAAAATAAGTGACATTAATCACATGTTGGCATTTAAGTTTTTCGCCAATTTATTGCTAAGAGGAAACATACAATAATATGCTATATGGTCATAAAACCCACTTTGCAGCCATAGAAGCAAGTTCTGCCTGTGCCTGTGTATGTATATGTATGACAGTGGACATGTAAGTGTGAAACTTTAAACACTATTAGAGTAAGAAGTCTTTTGTTGAACTTCTGTTAGTTTGAGAGGCTGCAATAATTTTTCCCCTTTCAAAACGCTGGAATAGAACCCATCATTTTGCTTTCCAAATTAGCAACAGGTAGCTGGTTTGGAAGGCTGGAGATTGATTTCTCTCCAGCTAGCAAGTCGAGGGGACAGGTCACTGAAGCATGTGGGTGATATGCTGAACCACCAACTTGGCAAATATTGAACTATTTTAAGTGCATCTATTTTATGGTTCAGTAAATTTTTTGTTGCGTTAAATTCATTAAACTTGACACAGTCTAAATGCCACAGCACATAGTGGAGAGCCCATAAAGTAACAGCACCAGCCATAAAAGATAGCAAAAGGTAAGGATCAATATATTTTCTCTCTCAGTTTCTATTTAATTTTTATCTTTCATATTAGGACTGGGATTTGTTTTAAAGTTAAAAAGTACTGTGTGGCTGGGAAAATCAACTGGAATCTTATTATTTTCTGAAAATCTGAAGGAAAGTCTCTTTGTCAGTCAAGTTGCCCTCCACGCTAAGATGATGACATATATGACCTACAATTCAGGATCACTTAATAACTTGGGGGATAAATGAGAAATAAGAATTACACTCTGTTACCCACATTTTGGAAAAATCTTGTTTCGTATAATTTGCAAAAATATTGATTCAAGGATACATCTGAAGACTTAAGATGGGGCCTTGATAATGTGATTATTCTTTATTCAGAATGGAAATTTTCATAAGGATAATCAAGTTTTTGGCACATAAACTGTTATCGTGATTTAATGTAATTTTTTTGAGAGAGTCGTTTGTTATTTTTTAAGTACCACTTTTCTTCCAACAAGGAGTAGTCAAAGCAATTCAGAAAAGTCGGGAAGGTGCAAGGTGCAAGGAATTTCCATTCTAGCATGGGTTGTAACTATCAAAATTACAAAATTGATTTTATACTCCACATGAAAAATGACAATAAGTGAAGAACAATTTTCCAGTAATTTTTCTTAACAAAATAGAAAACAATCAATAACAGAAAATTGTGAAAATAAAAACCCAGTGTACATGTAGAGAATAAGGATATAAGCACTAAATATAATTCTTTAAAGCTTCCAGAACACATAGGGCAGAAGTGATGCAGCCATCAAAGTTGGACTGAGTAAATCCATCCCCTCCACATGCAAGGAAAGGTTTGTGATGCAGAGTCATTTGGCCAGGACAGTTGGCAGCAGCATTTGTAACCTGAAAAAGTAAAAAGAAGACTGCAATTGATATTCTGTGCTCTATTGTGCTGTCATGGCAACACCCACCTGGAAAAGGCTAGTCTACCTGGAGAAATCAAGATTTCTCACAAGAAGCACCAGAAAAAACAAACAAACAAAAAATGCACACACAAGAAATAAAAAACAAACCAAGACTCACTAAACTCCCCCCAACCCCAGTTCAAGTGTTTATATTTATATTCATAAATGTTTAAATTTTCAGTTATTAGATAAGATAATCAGAAGTGGGTTGAACTTCAAAATTAGTAGGGCCTATGGTCTGAATGTTTATCCCCCTCAAATTCATATGTTGAAGTCCTAACCCGAGGTGATGGTATTAGAAGGTGGGGCATTTGGGGAGGTGATTAGGTCATGGGCAAAGTCCTCATGAATGGAATTAGTGCTCCTTATCAAACAGGCCCAAGGAAGCTTGTTGGTCCTTTCCACCATGTGAGGACACAGCCAGAGGTGCCATCTATGAGAAAGGGGGCTCTCACCAGACACTGGATCTGCCAGTGCCTTGATCTTGCACTTCCCAGACCTCAGAACTGTGAGAAAGACATTTCTGTTTATTAGCCACCCATTCTATGGTATTTTGCTATAGTGGCCCAAATTGACCAAGACATCCTTCTTCAGTTTCTCTCCACCACTCCTCATCCCATGGTTCTTTCTTCCTCACACATTTCCTGAGTGCTGTTCTGGCCCAGGCCCCATGCTGAGCACTGGAGCAGGAGAATTTTAAAATTTCACAACCTTGTCTTTAAGGAACTTTCAGTCCTGAGAGGAAGACTGACCCCAAAGCAGTCTTTTTTAGCAGCTTATTTTCATATCTGAACGTATGAAAAAAGGCACAGAGTTTGTTTTCTGGAGAAAATATTCTCAAAATTTGGATGGATGATGGCTAATAAGCATTTGCAGTAAGGAGAATGAGTGGGAGGTGAATGTAGTTATGTTGGACACCGAGATGACTTGCCCACTGAAGCACCAAAAACCCTCTAAAAAACCAGAATATGAAAACTTGCTGTAATGGCCATCTCGCTTGGGACTGCTTCACTGTACAACTTCAGGGGGCTCCATTCACATGGATGATAATATGACAGTTCTGGTCTCTCCTAAACAATGTTTTCATGGACAGTAATAGAGTAAGGCCTATGAGGATTTACTTATCTGAAAATCGGGAAAAAAACATCAAGAAATGTAATAAATGCTATTTAAATTATGGTGCTGAGATCTTTGTTCTAGATAGGCTGAGTCAGTATATTCCCTTACAGTTTTTTTTGTTTTCTTCTAGAGATAGGGTCTTGCTCTGTTGTCTAGGCTGAAGTGCTGTGACATGATCATAGCTCACCGTACTCTTGAACTCCTGGGCCAAGAGATTCTCACGCCTTAGCTTCCTGGTAGCTAGGACTATAAATGTGCACCACCATGCCTGGCTAATTAAAAAAAAATTTTTAGAGATAGGGTCTCACTATGTTGTCCAGGCTGGTCTTCAACTCCTGGTCTCAAGCTATTCTCCTGTCTTGGCTTCCCAAAGTGTTGAGATTACAGGCATAAGCCACCATGCCTGGCTTACAGAGCCTACAGTTTTCTTAAAGCAGAAAAACTTTGCCATAGTTATTTTTTATGTATATGTTATATTTGCTTTTTAAATAGGGATGGTACTATTATTTCCCTGTTGAACCTCTAAAGACATGGGCCTCTGTAGACCTGTGTCACTCAGATATAAACATGAAATATTAAGAGCATCCTCTCACTTTTCTGGAGGTCTCTTACAGCAACATCATGTATCACAAACATAACTGATAATCTTGAAATCAGCAGACAAGATCTTTGAGTGGCTAAAATAGGCAGTACATAGTGCTGTCACTGAAGCGCAGACTTGGTTATTCAATTAGAGCTTTTAACCTGCTTTAGATAGAAATTTATCAAGTTGGATTATTTAATTTGTCAGTAAAACACTACAGGAGGAAGCAAATGGCTAGGATCCTAGATATTAGTGATTTCAGAATGTGATAACCAATAGTCTAATAGCAGGGGATATGTATTAGTTCATTCTCACACTGCTATTAAGAACTTCCCTGAGACTGGGTAATTTATAAAGAAAAGAGGTTTAATTGACTCACAGTTCCAAATGGCTGAGGAGGCCTCGAGAAACTTATAATCATGGAAGGGGAAGCAGGCACGTCTTACATGGTGGCAGGCAAGAGAGAGAGTGTGTGAAGGAGGAACTGTCAAACACTTATAAAACTGCCAGATCTCATGAAAACTCACTCACTATCATGAGAACAGAATGGGGGAAACTGCCGACATGATGCAATCACCTCCCACCAGGTCCCTCCCTCAACACATGGGGATTATGGGGATTACAGTTCAAGATGAGACTTGGATGGGGCCACAGAGTGAAACCATGTCAGGATGCTATATAAAAACTCAAAACCCAGACAAGACTGGAAAGAATCCTGGCAGTCTGGGTCAATTTAATGGAGAGGCAAATAACTTTCTGGCTCTTAACAGGAGCTGAGGGCATCAGTTATTAGCTGTCTTACAATCATTAATGCTCACCATGATGGCCCCAGCTTTCAAGAAGCAATTCTAATATGCATAAAGTATTCATTGCTAGCATTTCTTGAATGCCCACTGCCTATCAAATGTTGTATATGCACACCTCATTTAATTCACATAGCAACCCTATGAGGTGGTTACTATTGTTCTTATTTTATACATAAGAAAGTTGAGGCTCAGAAAGATTACTACTTGCCCAAAGATGGAAAGTCAGTAGATAAAGAAACAGGGATTAGAACAGAGCAGGCTGACTCCAGAACTTACATTTCCAGCACTTTCAGAAATATTTCCATAAAGACTCGATTAAGTAAAACAAAACAACAATTTTTGATTTTTGTTTTGACTTAGATTTAATTTTTGACTTAGCTTTAGGCATCTGGAAAATTCACATCAATAGAATAACACATTCATACATATTCATATCTATACATATATGTGTGTGTTTATGTATAATTTGCACATACATAAATCTCCATTTGTGGTAAAATTTTGATATATTCCTGTTGACATCCCTGTATAGATAAACTGTGGCACTATTAAACATTGCACAAGTATTAACCAGGAAGGAGTTTAAGGAAAAGGGTTTTGCCCGGTCATGAGCCAGTAATTTATTGGTGCTGTGTAATTTAATTTGATGAGTGGTAAAACGCAGATGCCAGATCACATGGCTGGAAAACTGGGCCACTGATTAGCCAGTCGGCAGTTTGGATGAAATCAATCTCACTGTATTTAGGTGGAATCACCCATTTTGCAATTACCCAATGGGGAAAATATGAAAACATGGAGCGTGTATTGGCAAGCTCCTTCACCCATGTAAAGTAAGAGCCCTGCAGTGGAGGAGCACGTAATTGTCAAAGCCACAATCTCACAATAATGCAGCCTTTGGCTATGCTTTCAGCCACAGTGAGGAACCACAGCTCAATGACTGTGTTTAAGAGAGATGTCAGGGCTGAAACAACCCCTTGCAAATCCAGGTTGCTTTGGCTCACATGTGTGCCAGGGATGGTCAGAAAGAACTCTTGCCTGCTGTAGTGTAGCAAATGCAATGTTTCTATAAACTTAGGCGATAACTGGACTGGGTATACAAATAAAGCTGAAGAAGTGGTTTTATTTCTAAGCAATTTAAACCCATGTCAATGTGTTTTGTTATATAAAATGCAAACGCCTAAGCCCCACATGGAGAGCTCTTCATAACCAGGATCTTACTTTCATTCAAATCTCACCTCATGCCACTTCTCTCACCTTTGTCACCCTTGTCCTTGTCCCTTCTCTTGCCTTTGTCCTATCTATATTCAAACTCAGGTTCTTCTTCTTGTACTTCTGTGGCTTGGAACAAACCATTTTGGTGGGTGGTGTTGCATCATCCTCCTCTTTGCTGACAAGTAAATTGCTCATCCTTCAAGACTCAGTATAAACATCACCTGCTCTGAGGCATTCTTGCTCAGCCAGGCAGGGCCAGTGCCTTTTCAGCATGTTATTTCTACCTATTATATTACTTGCTTTTTTGCACTGTAATGATGTCCATGCCTGTATCCTCCCCTCCTAGACTGCAAGCTTCTAAGAATAGGGGCTCTGACTCACTGATCTTTGTATCCAAGGCTGAGAACAGTGCCCAGACCATATGAAAGTGTGCAATAAATGTTTATTGAGTTAAAAGGTATTGTACACAGTTGATCAAATGAAGGTCTTGACAGAAAACCTACACGAACAGTGTTATTCAGAGGCTCCCCATATAGTGGAGGAGAAGCTCAAATGGAGGCACTATTGTATTTAGAAGACTCTTAATAATGATGAATGAAGGGGTGTCCTCTGGCCTCAGACCGTGCACTGCTTTAATGACTGTCTCCTGTCATGTATTAAGTTGAACCACATAAACTTGCTGATTCTGTAGGTCAAAAATGGTAAAATATTGTCAATTTGTATATGGTTCAGCCTAATAGTTTCTTTGTATCATGATTACTAATTGTAAAAGTTCACACAAAAAAGTGCTTTTGGTGTGAAAATGAAATTAAAGATGAAAAGAAAGAGGTAGGCAGACAAGGAGGCTAAGTATTTCTTACCAAAATGACAGTTGATTATTAGCAAAATAATTCAAATAATGTCCATTCTTCCTTTCATATCTATGCTAAAGCTACAGTGCGTCCTTGGACTAGGAAACATTTACTCATAGAGAACAGTCATTTGTTTGGCCTATAGAGTGGCTTTATTTTAGGCTGACCTATTCAGCCATCCAGCCCATAATTTGGTTACTTAAACAAACCTTTCTGAAATATGGCAACAGGTGACACTCAAGAGGGTAGGCAAGAATTAAGATTTTATAAATTCTAATTCTAGATGTGCAACTAATGTGATTAGGGAGCTTGGACAATGAATAATCAAGTTTTTGCTGCTATGTTCCCTAACTTATACCATGAATGC